GTTTAAACATTCATGAGGAGCAAACATCCCCCAAGAGCACTGAAGACAGAAACCCAGCTTTGTCCCTCCTGAGAGCCTGGCTCCCCTCTCTCTTCTCGCATTTAAAGCTCCACATCGAATCCCCTCCAAAACCAAGGGGATGTGGAAGTTTATCTGCTTTGAGGATGTGATCACTTTTACTGGGAGGAGCTTCAAATTGCAGATTTGGATGTGAAGTGTGGACCATTTGGCAAGGTCCAGCCCTATGGGTCTGGGGCAGATCTTGCTCCCTTGCAAGGAAGCCAAGACCCTAACTTGTTATATGTTCCAAACTTTGCTGGGAGTTTTTGTTCACCACATTCATTCTCATTTATATATGTTTTCCTTCTCCCAGATTGCTTTGACACAGTGGCAATTAGTCATGCTCGATTGTCTGGGTTGACTAATTACTGATAGTTTTGACAGGCCTCATCAGAAAGGTTGCAGAGCCCCAGTGTAAGCTAGGATCCAAGCCTCTGGCTGCAATGCTCCTCGCTGTGCCAGAGTATGGAATGCGGTGCATCATTTCAGCCCTGGCAGTGCCTCACTCTCAGCTGCACCCCCAAATTGGTCACAGCTGAGAGAACAGCATTCCTAGCATAGCTAGTTGGGGGAGGAGTGTGGGGAAGTTCATTATAGGGCTAGCAGGGGTGGGGGAGGAGATAGTGTGGGGTGGCAGGGGTCGGGGAGGAGGTAGTGTGGGGTGGCAGGGGTGGGGGAGATAGTGTGGAGATGGGGAGGAGCTTGGGTGCATCAGAGAAAAAAAATGCACCACTGGATAAGGTCCTGAGAAACAGGCTTTAAATGGCCAAAGGGGAGAAGAGAAAACTCTCCCCTCTGATAGATTCAGATGTAGGTGAAGTCCAAGAGATTTGGGTCATTAATGGGAAAACAGTTATGCTTATCTGCTTCCTGCCAATCTGTATCCATTGACAGAGCAGAAGTAATTATAGATACTGTAGACACACTGTGGCATTAAGTGTTTGAATTACACTGCTTAACAACACTTCCTGATATGGCCCTCCAGGCGCGGCCAGAGAACTGGTTTGAGCCAGCAGCCAACACTGTAGGGGCATGACAATATTGTCTGGGGAAGTTTCCCACATTTTCTTTCCCCCCCAAAACTCCAGCAACAAAAAGGAAAAAAGCCTGAGTTGATACTCATTTGGTTTCTGTTGAGTACTTAGTATGTCATTCACATAGCTGTCTTAGCAGAGGAAGCAGGCATATTTCATTTGAGGGTTTTCATAGTTTGGCTCCTCGTAGGAGCCAAAAGCAGGGTCAGCACTGTAGAATCAATTCAGTAGAGGGAAAATAAACCTTTGGAATATATTTTACCTTCCCTGAGCACGTCGCAGGCATTAGCAATAATGGGAACCCTGTCTGCGCATGGAGAGGAAGCATCTACGGCTCAGGCCCCCGCCTATCTTCGCCCTGGGCTGTGCAGTCCCATGACCTTCACAGTGGGTGGGATGATTCTGGATTCATCATCTCCTAACTTTATGCTGCTATGCACAGGATACACACACACACACACACACACACACACACACACACACACAGTGTTCTTTCCTTATGGATGGAGACAGAAGCTGCTGAAACATGGCCCACACTGATGAGATTGAGCCTTTCGGGGGTAAATGTGAACTGACTCTATTTGCCCTTGGTGGTGGCTGTGCCATTTTTGCTAGGCTAAAGCTGCCCAGTTTGCTAGTCTTCTCCAACTTCAGGGAGATGAGAGAGCCAAAGGGGGAGGCTTAGGACCTTTTTCCACTTCTTTTAGTTCACTCTGTGCGGCCAACAGAACAACTTGTCAAATAAGCACAGATGCATCAGGAAACCATTAAGCCAACCCATTAAAAGGGCACTGGATTCGCTATTCAAAGTGGCTCGCTTGCTGTTTCTATGTATATGTGTGCTCTGATGCATTTCAATATCTTAATTTTAAGACAAGGATGAGTGAGGTACTACAGTAGAGATAGTAAACCACAGCCTTCCGCTCCTCTCAGGCTAAGTCACTGAGGAGATGGCATCTTCACTGGCTGATTTGTCCACCTTCACTGTTGTATTTCTTTTTTAACAGAAACTCCAGATAAACATTGCCAGCTTTTACTAAGAGTATCTTGAATGGCTCTTTTCTATTTCTTACCTATCCTTCCCAGAGGTCTCATTACACTCGGAGACCCAGCCCAGGACTGCCTAGCAAGTCATGTTTGCAAACCTCCCTCCTCTAGGTCAGGATAGGGGAGATGCCCAGGGTCTTTCCCTGCTCTGAGTCTTCAAGAGCTCCACTGGTGTGGGCTTCAGCGGGAATTGTATTGAGGCAATTGAAAATCACACGGGCAATCTGGAAAGTCATCTTGAAGGCAACTTTGCGATGTCAGCAGTTTGTTTCAGTTCTGGATTTAGCTGTTCTAAAGGTTGATGTAGTCAAGAGGAGTTGTCATGATGTCAGCCACTAAGAAGTGGAGCTGACCAGAGTGCTGAACCCAGTCTCTATTTACCAAAGTCCTCAGACCTTGCTGGCTGCACAGCTGATACATCACCCCCACACCCCCCCCCAACCCCCGCCAGTCAGCTATAGTACCCCCAGGACAGAGGCAGATAAGAGTGTGCAGAGCAAAAGCTCCACACTTATGGCAACATGCATGTAAACAGCTGGTGGAATTTGGGAGTACATTGCATGTGATAGTTCCCAGCTCTATTAGAGATATATTTGGCTTAGGAGAGCTCAAAAATTGTTTAGAGGGAGTTCACTGCCAATCAAATGAATATTAATAGTGTGGGTCTTGGAGCAAAGAAGATAGTTCTTCAGTATCTAATATGTATCTACAAAGGAAACAGTTCCTCAGTGTTACAAGGCTTGGAGCATGGGGTTTGAGGAGCCTTTTGAAATCAGGAAACACCAGTACCAGTTGGGAAAAGAACTCTACTTACAGTTTAAACCAAATTATCTGAGCTTCCCTGGTGCCTAACTAAATACTTTCTCCCTACAATTTCTCCCCTTAACAATTTGTTTCTCTCAGGTTTTATCAATCTGGCTCTTTTTTTGTTGTTGTGCAGTGTATTAATGATTCTCAAAATCTTCCAGTTTACCCAGAACTGAAACACTTGTGCCAGAGCCATACCCCACATCAATTCACCAGTGCTCATCTCCCCTCTACCCACTCCAAAAACAAAGCCAAGGAGTGGTGCCTGTTGGAAAATCTTCCCTTATTCTGGGGAAGCAGGGGTGCTCCCGTCCCCCACTTCTCTACATTTTCTCCAGGAGCCAGTCTGCACAATTCATCTTTAGCCTGAGGTTCAACTTCCCCATTAACATAGACACAACACTTCACTGAAGCTGAAGTATAAGAAATTTTCTGCTTGATGTGTTTTATGTCCCATTATTATTTTCCCCATACATCACATGGCTCTCTGAGAGGCACAGGAAAATATGTCTGGTGCAAGGCTTTGGGGAGGGTCCCCCACCACTTAAAAAGGGGAAGGAGGGAGAGATGGACTCATAAAGGAATTCATCCGAAGCTTCTCTCTCTGCCTTCCCAGGAGGTCGGGACTCCTAAGAGTTTTCTCCTGCTCTGGAAACTTCCTTTGCATCCACAAACTCCCTTGGATGGCTGTTTCCCTTTTGTCTGGGTCTCCGTGGTGCTGCTACAGGTCTGCCCTCTCACCGTGGCTGGGGCAGGACTGATAGGTTTATCCTCTCTAGCCTGTCTGCTGCCTGTCATTATTTATGGGATCAAACTAGAGGCAGGGAAAACATTGATTAGCTCAAAATGTGGGTGAGTCAAATCAACTACCCCACTCCCTCCAAAAATACCACAATCACAATGATTTAGTTCTTTTTTCCATCAGGTGGGAGGAGTCAGAATTGCACACTTGCACATGCAGACTATTCACAGCAATAAAGAAAAATGCATTAAGTATATATACAGGCTTCCAAGCGGGAGAATTTCAAGGGGGAAGAAACCAAGGATAGGGGAAGACTGCCTCCATGGTAACAGTGGCGACAGGTAGTTTCCCCAGAAGTCTCTTTTTGGTCACATCTCTTAAAGTTAGAGGGCACCCCCAAACTCCCATAATCTGGTCACAAATAAAAAGCATTTCCATGGAGAGGTGGAAGTAAAGCTCTCGGCCTTCTGGGTTCCCGACAGTTGCAGGTACACTGTAGCCCCCAGTGCAAATATTCCTAAAGTTCCCTAGTTGAACCCTAGAGGATTCTGGAGCAACTCTAGAATAGAATTCAGAGTTCATGCCAAGAGCTGGGCTCCTCAGCAGTGGACTTGCCCTGGTTCCCTGGACATAGTGGGAGCAGCCACCAAAGCAGGTCAAACACCCACGGGAGAAGTGGGCACCAGTGAAGGAAACCATCAGGCACCTTCTCAGTGTTCATTGTCAACACTTCTAGAAACAGCTGCCAGTGGCCCAACCAAAGGCCCCCAAAGGCGAGGTGGCGAGATGAGGGAGCGAGATGAACAAGCAATGTGAACAGTGCCCCTTAATGAGGAGGCAGTGGGGGGTGGCAATGGTGACCTAACTGGAGGCCAGCAGACTTGGCTCATGTTCCCTAAGCTCTGCTTGGCTGAGGTTATGTGAGCCTCTTTCAGAACCACCTCCTCTTGCAAGCCCAATCCCACTAATAAGCCACTGACCTTGAGTGCAAGTCTGGGGCTGATTTGCTGCTCTGTCTTGGGGAACCCCAGGGACCTAGTGGCTTAACGGGAAGAAATCTTCCTCATTTTAGCAACATTTTTTCTCTCCTGCCATAGTGATCAAATTAGTAGGCTGTTTCTCCACGGAGGAAATGTAGCCACGGGTCCCAGGAGGCACTGCCCATTGCCTGCCTGATGGGTTTGGGAAGGGAAAGCAGGAATGGGTGTGTGCGTGTGTCCCTCCCTTCCCCAGCCCCGGCAGGGTCTCTCCCACCCGGGGTGGCCACCCAGCCAGCAGCGAGACCACAGGAAGGGTAGGGGCTGGGGGGCTTAGCTGCAGGAGGCCTGGCAGGAGGCTGCATACACACTGCTGCCCACCGTGCCCCCGCTGGTCAGGCTACTGGTGGGACACTTGAGGGGCTTCATGCTGCTGTCCCTCTGGATGTGCAAGTGCTTGAGCCGCCAGCGCTCCCAGCTCCTCCGAAACTCCATCTGGACCTTCCGTGGGAAAAGGAGGGAAACAAAAGCCATCATGCAAACCAACTGCCCACAAAATGGCCCCATTATTACATTAGCAGGGAAGGGAAAAAAATCCACTGCATTATATTAAGAGACACAAGTCAAGGCCTTCGGGCACCTAAATTAATATCCCAATAAAATTGTTTATTGTTGTCTCCTATTTTCTGCCTTTCCTCAGGAGAGAGATGAGCTTGATGATCTAATTGGTCTCCTCCATCTCTAAACTCTGTGACTCAGCTCAGTACCTTTCACAATCCATCACAGTCTTATTCAGCGGAAGATAACAAGAGCGAGAGAAATGCGGGAGACGGGAAGGAGAAGACGAGGAGGGGGAGAATCGGACTTCAGCGCACAGCGGAGCCGAGACGGCCCGAGCCAGCCTGCCAGGATGCGCCTGGTCTCCTGGGCAGCGTCACGGGGCCCAGGCTTGGGTGCGGGAGGGGGCAGAGCAGACACAATCTGTGACCACCCTGCGGCGTGCCAGCTCGCTGCCTGGCTGAGCGGTTGTGGCGAGTGTGCTGACAGGTGGGATGGGGACACCCCAGGCTGATGCGGCCTCTGCTTGTGAAGCAATCTTGTCTCACAGTCCTTCACTGGGGAGGGAGGGGGAGGGATGGTGAACCGAGGCACATGTGTGGGAAGCCACCTCAGGGAACGAAGCAGTTTCATGGACACCAGCAGGGAATGGGACGGGACTGGGGCTTCTAAAAGTGCTGACACATGGTGCCCTTTCTGCCTCCATCAGCACTTTTCCTGAGCCTGTGTTATGCCCCCATAATGACAACTGTCATTAAAAGCCACCATTTAGGGGTGCCTGGGTGGCTCAATCAGTTAAGCATCTGACTCTTGGTTTCAGCTCAGCTCATGATCTCATAGTTTGGTTGGTGAATAAGAGCCCCAGGTGGGGCTCCACACGGAGCCTGCTTGGGATTCTCTCTTTCTCTCTCTCTCTCTCTCTCTCTCTCTCTCTGCCCCTTCCCTGCTTGCACTCCCTCTCTCTCTCTCTCAAAATAAGCTTAAAAAAAAAAAAAAAAGCGCCACTTACTACATGCCCAGCACTTTCCACTGATTATTTTCCTTAACTTTCTCAGCCACCCTGTGAAGTAGCTTCCATTGTTATTGCCTGCTTCAAGATGAAGAAACTGAGGTGCAGAGCATTTAAGTATTTCCCTCAGTCTCAGCCAGGGTCCACACCTAGGTCTGGGCTGACCTCCAGGTTGGTCTCCTAAGCACTGGCCCCCTGGCTTCCACGACTCTTTAGGTCGTGCTGGTCCCTGGTGTGTCTCCTCCCCCAACTCAGCTGGGAGCACCGTGAGGGCCAGGGCCACCCCTTCCTCACCTGGGTTCTCTGGACCCTAGTACAGTGCCCAGCATACAGTAAGTCCTCCGTGCAGGCTTTGTAAATGCGCTGAAGGAAAGAGCGAGTGAGTAACTGAGCATCTGACACGGAACTCCTTCGGCTACCGAGGTATTACAGTGAAACACCAGAGGCGAGGACATGAATCCCAGACACCCCTCCCAGTGCTGAGTGCGGTGCACTTCCTCACACATGAAGTTTACCCTCACCCCTGCCTCTGAGGTCCTCTCTGGCCAGGCTCCAGGTTCTGGAATCTGGGATGAATGGGTTCAGATCATTCACTTCTGTTTACACTGGTGAGGAGAGGTAAAGAGACTGCCCCGCATCACACAACTGGGTAGTGGCAGATCTGGGGCCAGTATTCTGGCTCCTGAGTCAGAGCCATGGCGAGAGGACACAAACCATGGCAAAACCACTCCTCGGCCTCCCCTCCCCTATGCCTACTCTCCTGGAAGCTGATGGAGGACTGATGTCCAGGCCATCTTTTCTCTTTGGGTCACAAGTACCTGGCATTGCCATGGCGACCCGGGGTCTGGAGAACAGCTTTTGTGGACAGAGGTCTCAGCCCAGGAGCCGGGGGTGTTTTTATGGCCCAGTGATGGTGATGTGTCTGTTCTTGTGCCTGGAGGAACCAGGGCATGAGGTGTCTCTGAGGAACTGTGCAGTGCCCTTAAACAAGGCAAGTGTCTGAGCAGGTGTCCTGGATCCCACAGCATAAGCCCGGGAGAGCCCGAGGGGACAGGCCAGCTGGGGATCTGGTGATTCAGGGGTTGTTAGTTGCCAAGGGGCTGAGTGGGATGTGTGCACTCCCCCTGGGCCAACCTGGGGGCAGACAAAGTGGGGAGGTGACGGGTGACAGGCTTTGAGGAATGGAGTCAGGGGGAGACTCGGCCAGGGTCTGGGAGACTCTCCATAGAAGTGGTGGGGAAGCCTCGCATGTGCATGTGTTGGGGGCAAGCATGTGCTGCCAGCATGGCTTTGGGGAAGAGGAGGGAGAAGTGGGAAATGGGAACCTCGGGGGACCGAGAAGATGAGAAGGGGCAGAGAAGAGCCTCACTCTCTCCAGTGTGCATAGGGACACCTGCCACCCTGTCCCTGTCCTTGGGACATAAAGCAGCAGAACATAGGCCCAGGGAGTGCATCACCCCTCTGGCTGAGAACCATTCCTGAAGGGAATGCCACCTGTGTTCCTCATATCTCAACATTTTCTTCAGTTTTTTAGGAAGTTCTTTGTGAGGGCTCAGATGCGGGGGAGAACCAGGGCTGGAACAGCCTACTGTCCCCCACCCCCTCCCCCACCATGGATCAAGGGCCTGTAGGACAAATGAGTGTCCTCTACAACGGCCTCCTCTCCTTCCGTGGCCCACCCACCCCACAGGGAGCCTAGCCAGCCCTCTGAGACTGGCCCAGAGGAACAGCCAGAAGGCATTAATGGGCCACGCTGAGCCTGGCTCTACCTCCCCTTCCCAGTCCCTGCGTTAGTGGAGACCTCTCCCAGCCCCCAGCTCTCCCATCTTCTAGCTGTGGAACTGGGCTATTCGTTTCATTTTGCCAAGTCTTACTTTTCTCATCTGTAAAATGAGGATAACACCTGCTACATAGGACTGGCTTTAATAAAACATGTGGGCATCTTACACAAAGTAAACATTCAGGAAGTGTTTCCCTCCCTTTTGGAGCACCACATGCTCTAAGCATCATGACCGCCATTTCGCAGAAGAGGAAACAGGTTTCAAAACTTGCCCAAAGTCACACAGCTCACTAAGCAATGGGGCCTGGATGGGAGCAGAGACCTGACTCCAAAGCCCATGTCCCGCATCTTTCCTGCTCTTTGAGTCATCTCACAGCATCCTGAAATACCAAGGTCCCCTCCACAGCCACCCTGTGCCCTCCACACTCACAGCACAAGTAAATTAATGCATTAATGCAGACTCTTAAGCCCTCTGAACTCTGGGACACCAGACTCTGTGACAGAAGCCACACAAGGAGAGCCAGGGTCTTTGAGGAGCAGGGTTCATGGGTCATCTGAGCCCAAAGCTCACTGATAGAAACCCTCACCTGGGCCTGAATGGAGTCAACAGAGCCCTCAGTTTGTCCCCCAGACTCTGAGGTGGGGGGTTTCCTACTCCCTCTTCCCTGCTGGGGTTAATCTTCTTGTGAATACTTCCCCTATGGTGCCATGTCCAGTACTATAATTTGTTCCCCCTCTGAAAGCAATGGGGTGCAGTGCTGTGGCATTTGTGATACCCAGTGATGATGGGGATCGCTCCTACTCTGTTCCAGCACAAAGCTGGGTGCCTGAGCAGAAGGGGCCTTCCCCAGCACCACAGGCACAGACACCCCCTCCGCCTAGGAGCTGACTGTCTCGGACAGGGGAGGGCTATGGTCCAGCAGGGTCTGCAGGAGAGGACGTGGGACTCAGCAACAGCCCGCTTCTTCTACCCCTACAGCCTGAAAGCCACAGGAAGAACACACCCCTTGGCCATTGGCGGGCTGGGGCTCTCACCTGCACACACAGGGTGGGCGCTTTCCTCTTTCTGTTAGGATGCATTTGAATCCCATCTCTGCCACCACTTCTAGGCCAAACCCGGGGCATGTTTCCTACTCTCTCTGATCTTCAATGATCTCATTGTGAAAAATGGGAATATTAAAACCATAGGGATTAGCAGAGATTTTTTTCTTGGGGGTGGGGTGGGGAGGGAGGAAGCAGTGACGATTAAATAAGATAGTGAATATTAAAGCCCCAAGGATGTGACTTGGGCATGTCTGCTGTTGAATCAACTTGTAACAATCACCATCGCCTGTTCATTCAGGACCCCCTTAACACAAGGCTGGGTCTTCCCCAAGTTCACATCCATTAGGGTATGCCTGCCCACATGTGTGTGTGTGTGTGTGTGAGAGAGAGAGAGAGAGAGAGAGAGAGAGAGAGAGAGAGGGAGGAGATATCCATGCATAGAAAACAATACATGGACAAGATGCCTTCTCAGCTCTAGCGCCCAGTGGGATGGATAGGGGGTTTCCGCTGAAAAGACTGATGGGAGCCACCACTGACAACTCTAGAACAGCCAACAGTAGCAGCCCACAAGTGTCCCCACGTCCCTTCTCAGGCTTACCTCATTGTTGACAAAGCAGTACAAGATGGCCACCATCAGCCCCTGGAAACAAGAGTCATATCAGCAGAGAGGAAGCAGGAGGGAGGCGCCCTGTAGGTAGACCCTGAAGCTCCTTGGGGCCCCAGCCCCAATATCCACCTCCTCAGACTGGGCATAGCCAGAGTTGGAGTGGTGGGTTCCTTCTCCTTTCCTTGCTGGAGGAACAAGAAGCCCCCTTGCTCAGATACTGAGAGGCTCTTCAACTACCCTCTCCTTGAGGAAGTCTGACCCGAGAAAGTATACCATCTCTGATCGTGGGCCATTTTCCCCTGCCATGGCTCCATCCGTTCATTCAGCAGACCCAGCAATCCCAAACTGTGATCTACATGCGTGTGCACATATGTGTAAGGGCACATGCATGGGCTTACATGCAGTGGCCCTCCCACAAGCCTCCTGAGGGGCTGAGACCAGGTTCTCATATATCTATACCCCCCAGTGACACTCATACACCCTCAGCATCATCTGATACCAGTGGGGAGGTTGAGTTTCTGACTTTGGAAACTACATAACCTGGAAAATCTTATTTCAACATCTCTGAGTATCAATTTCCTCCTTGGTAAAATCGGATGATCCTGCCCACCTCCTGGGATGCTATGAGGATTAAATGCACGATGTGTGCAAAGCCCCTGGTGCCCAGTAACAAACAGCCTGGTAGATGGCAGTTATGATGCCAGGCTGGATGCCCACAGTTACATCTGGGAAAGTTTCTTGTCCCACGCGCGTATAGAGAAGACTGGCCTGGGTGCTAGACACGGATTTAGCCCTGGCTCTACTCCACCCATAGCCCTCTGGGCATGGCCCACTTTCCCCCGAGGCCTCAGGGCGCCCATCTGCATGGTGCAGGCTGGTCTCTGCCCCACTCCCACTCTGACACTTGGCAAGTGAGGACCCCCAGCCGTGAGGTCACCTGGAAGGAGGTGAAGGAGAGCTCTGTGAACAGCTTGATGAAGCGCAGCGTCCCCCGTGCATGTTCATCCATCACAAAGGCAAAGACGACCTCATGGGTTCCCAGCAGGGGGATGAGTGTCAGTGTGGACTTGGCAAGTCTGGGGGTGGGGTGAAGACATCATTCTGGAATTCTCCCATGGACGTGTATCCCCTTTCTGTGCCCCAAACCCACACCTGAGTGACAGACATTCTCCCACCCCAAATACGCTGGGATGGGCTGCCTGGTGGGGAGGAAGTAGAGGTCAAGACACCCAGAAGCCCAGGAGATGCCCAGGTCCAGGGCTAAGGGCAAGGCTTGGGGTCCTGGCCTGGGCCAGGTGGGAGAAGAAGGTCACGCGATGTTCCAAGCTCTGAGCCCCAGGATCTCTATTCTGGAAGCAAGGGTGAAGGGCGCCCATGAAAGCCAGCTCAGGTACATCACCTGCACTTGATGTCCGTCTTGCACATGAGATTGGCTTTCAGTTTGGACACCACAATGCAGATGACCCGGACAAAGATGAGGAAGTTCACCTGCAGGGCAGATGGGAGGGAGTGGCTGGAGGCCCCCTCAAAACACCCCCCTGTTTCCATGCCTTCCCCCAGCAACACCTGTCCAGCCAGAACTGCCACTCCCACCCCCACACCATCACTCACCCCAATGGCAAAGAGAATGGGCAGCCGGATAATGAGCCAGTAATTCATGTTTGAGTTCCTGGTCCAGCAGCTGGAGAGGAAGAGAAATACACAAGTACCCAGTTGGACACACAGAGCCCCCAGCTCACAGTGCAGGTACAGGGGCACACAAACACATGTGGCCATGCAAAGTGACCCTCACAGAGCCACATAAATGCTGCCACAAGGAGCTACCCAGTCCCATAGACTCATGCAGAGTCCTTCAAGCCACAAACACACACACACACACACACACACACACACACACACACACACACACACACACACACACACACACACACACCTAAATACATGGTCACACAGAGAGATACACACAGCCCTTTGTGAACGAACAGTCATGATGCCTAGCATCATACACAAAATAGCAGGAACATTTCACAGTTATTATAGAAAAGTCATTGCATACCCCATGGACCCAGCACCATTTGTTATCACCCAGTCCCGGGAAGGGATAAGGAAGGGGTACTAAGGAACTAAATTCATAAATTAAGCTCCTGATCCCTCGGTTTATCCTCCCAACAGGTGGTAGCCATGTACCCCAGGGGCCAGGGAATCCCAGGGGGGTTTGAGGATGGGGACCTCAGCACACCCATGCCCAGGAGCAGGACACTCACCCTTCATCCTCATAGAGGTACTTGACAATGCCCCAAGGGATAACAAACAGCAGGGGGACACCTAGAAGAGAGAGGGGAACAGAGAGGGGAGAGGGCTGGCAGGCCTGACCCACCACCATGCACACCCAGAGGCCTCTATTTACCCAGGCCTCTCCCGCCTCCAGCCCTTTCCCTCACCTGACTCCAAAACCACTTTCTAGCAGGTTTGGAACTTGGATGGTCTGGGAGCCTGGGGGAGTGGAGGCGGCAGGAACACCTCCGTGCCCCCACCCCCCATCCCTGCCCAACTCCCTGGAGTCTTCCTCAGAGAGAGGATCGCACCACACTGTGGCTGTATCTGAGATAAGACGAGATCGGGTGCGTTCAGGGTGGTATGTCCGTAGACACTGTGGCTCTATCTGTCCTAACCAGTCCCCCCCATCCCAGGCACACTGTGAGAGCTTGCCCCCAAGTCCAGGCTGAGACATGAGGATGCAGACACCAGAGTAACAGAGGACAAGGCCATGGAGTGGGAAGAACATTCTAGATGAGGTGGAGCAGGCCAACCCACTGATGCCCTTCTCCTCCTGCTGCTGCCCATGTGCCCATCTCAGTCAACTCCTTCAGGCTCCAGAAGCCCCTCCAGCTACCTGTTCTCTACCCGCATGCACTACAAGTGGCTGGGCAGAAGCCTGGAGTACAGACAGGGGCCCCATCCTTGATGCCAACAGCCCAACCAATGGCACAGTGGCCCACGGTAACAACAGCTCCAATGTAACACTTTCCACTTGACTGAGACTCAAGTGGTGTGGCAGGCAGCCTCTAGGAAGTTTCCCAGCGACCCTCACCTCCTGGTATCTACACCACCATACAGGCTGTGCTGTATCGGGATTGGTCTGTGTGACCAAGAATGTACTCAGAAGCGATGGCAGGTCACTTCTGAGATCAGGTTATAAAAGACTGTTAAAAGGTTAAAAAAGGCTTGTCTTGGGCTCTCTCTCAGTCTGATCACTTGCTCTGGGGGATGCTGGTTGCCATGTCATGAGGGCACTCACCCAGACAGTGGAGGCCCCTGTGGCAAGGAATGGAGGCCCCTAGCCCACAGGTAGCAAGGACCTGCACTTCCTGCCAACAACCTTGTGAGTTTGCAAGGGATTCTCTGACTGAAGACTTGCTGTGACAGCAGCCCCAGCCAACAGCGTGTCTGCATCTCTGTTAGAGACCTTGAGCCAGAGGCATGCAGCTAAGTTAAACCAGATTCCTGCCCATAGAAACTGCAATAGGAAATTGCTGCTTTAACCGGTGAAGTTGTGGGGTCATCTGCTCTGCACCAGGAGCTAACGCATCCAGCTGGTTCCCAGTTCCTTGAGGGTACAGCGTCACTCATTCTCAGAGCCTCAGGGCTCGGCTCAGCCTGAGGGCTCAATATGTTTGCTGAATTCAAATGGACTGTCCATCCTCATGACAGATGGAGATGAATGAGGAGCTCTGGAGGGTTCAGGTGGGACTAGAGAGCAAGGCTGCCAACCCACGCCCACGCCAACCACTTTCGGTGGCTTTCTGCACCAGCTCTCCATGCCTGTCTCTGTGGGTGCCCCTCCCGGGGTTGGAGATGTGGGCGTCGGGTATAGGTGAGAATGTGTGTGTTAAGGTGTGGACACAGATGTGAGTGTGTGGTGGGCAGGGCCATGCACAGGCATGTGTAGCTTTAGGGGGTCTCTCCCCAGAACACACTGCCAGGGCAGAGCCCCATTGACAGTCCTTCCTGTCATCACGATCCATGTCCTCAATAGCCATTCCCAAGCAGTTCATCTGCCAGGAGCTACTGTGCATGACAGTGAAGACAGGGAGGAAGCCAAGAAACTCACAGCTGGTCAGCATTCTTCATCAGGTACCTTCCTCCTTGGCCATTTGTTTTTACACAAACCAGACCTCTGAGCATCCACGATGCTTTAGTAACAGGCCTTCATGAGACTGGACAAGGGATGGGTGGCTTCCAAAGGCCTCAGAATATAGCACGGAGCCTGCCACAATGAAGATGCTCAGACAGCATGGAAGGAAGGAATGATGGGTGGATCCACTGGGAAGGGAAACTCTCCTGGCAAGAACATGCCAATTCCCTGAGCCACACACACATGCGGAAACCTCCTTCCTGGGCATTCCCAGCCACCTCTTGTCCTTTTTCTCTGAGATCCCACTCAGAATTGGGGAGCTCACTCATGGCGTCAGCAAGACCTGGTGAACTTCACTCATTTACCAGCCTCTCCTTAACAAGGCCTTTTCTGCCACATGCAACCATTACACACCCCCTCATTCCCTGCTGGCTGCATCTTTCTCCCATTTAGAAAATCAACAAGACAAGCTGGAGAAAAATTTCACATTAAGAAACACAGAACTGGCCCCGAGAAGCAATGACTCCCTCGTCCATCACTTGCCTCCCTCCCTTGCAGCCTCCCTGTGGTGGGTAATGGGGCACCAGCTGCCCATGGATGGCAGCAGGAGCTGACGTCTTTTGGGACTCCCCAGCTGTGTCAGAGTTGTAATTTTAATTCTTCTGCTTGCATGTGAAGCTAAAAGTTGTTTCCAAGCATCCCAAAGTGGGCTAGGTCTCCTGGCCCCACAGAAGAGCTCTTTGGAAAGCTTTCTCTCTGTCCTCTGTCTTTGTCCCTCTCTCTCTGCACCTCCCCATCCCAATTCCTCAAGATAAGGGTGGTCTCATTGGGAAGGAAGGTCCCCCAGGTCCTACCCAGGTGCCCCTCAGACTCTGAGCCCTGAGCTGCAGCATGAGGTGGTGGGAAAGGATGAGCTCCCCTTCCCCCTCTTCCATTTCCCACTCAGAAACCTCCAGGATGCCATGTGTCCCCACCAACCCTCCAGCAACCACCCCCGCTCCTCTGCACACAGCACAAGGTCCCCTCTGATTGTTCCTGCCCTCAGGTCACCATGGAGACAGGCACTAACAGTGTTGACGCTATTTCCCAGAATGGACATAGTCCCCCACCTTAAGGACAGCCTCCCCAGAGCCCCCTCAATGACCTAACACCGCCCCACCCTCCATTAGCTGCAGGGCTCTCCAGCTGCCCACTGCCTGGGTGACTGTCCTACCCTCGGAGGGGTGGAAGAGCAGGGAAGGATGGGCCCGTGGGGAGGTGGGGGAAGGGTGGGAGCAGGGAGTTGTACACAGAGGAGAGACCCACCTGCCCAGAGGCCTGAGCTCGCTCACCTTGTCTATTAAGGGACCAAAGAGGCAATGCAGGACAGAGAACTTTCCATGACAGGCAGCAGCCCAGGGCCTGGGAGTCAGGAGGCCTGGTTCCAGTGCTTGCTCTGCCTGCAAAGCCCTGCCCTCTCTGGGCCTTGGGTGCCTTCAAGACACTGATCACCCTCTTTAGAGGTACTCTTCTACAACAGGGCCACAAAGAGCCAGGTGGCGGAGGGACACCGGTAAAAGGGAATTCAGGGTGAGGACAGGGGCAGGGAGGCTGAGAGGGCCAGAGAAAGCGCACAGCCAGGGGGCCAGACAACCTGTGGAGGCTTCCTGAGGAGGCGGGCTGGACCGAGGACAGCCTTGCAAAGGCTCAGAGGCAGGAGCCAGTATGGGAGGGGGACATCACACGTGGCTGTGACTGAGGCGGGAGGTCCCCAGTGGTCAAAGTAACCTGAGGCAGGCGAAGGAAGGAATGACAGTGGTGAATGAATGAACGGCAAGCTTGAGGTGGAAGGCAGGCTCCTGTGGCGTGGGCAGGGACACTGGCAGATTAGGAAGGGCCAGAGGGCAAGGCCCATTCTCTGGCTCCATCCAGGGGTGAGGGGCTCCCGCGGGCCTCTCCAGAGTAAGCGCTGTTGCCTGTGTTTTCCCTGTAGTGGGGTGGGGGTTGGGGAGCTGCTGGTGGGCTTCTCAGCCCCTGTTCTCATCAGAATCGCACGCGGCGAGAGGCAGAAGCACAACCAGAAATGTTCCAGCAAAAAAAAAGACACGATAGTTCTCGGCAAACTTTTTTGGCTAGAACATTTCCAGCTGGGCTCCAGGCACATCCGCGGTCCACCCTTTCCTCAGCTGGCTTCTGGCTGCCAGCCCTGCCCTGCCCGGCTCTCCTCTAAGCCCTCCTCTTCATCATCAGCTGACAGAGCCACAGCCCCTCAGCTCTCACCTCCTGACCCCTTACCCTGAAGCCCAGGACTCTCCACTTCCCTCAGGGCCTGGGTACCAAGGACTGGGTATGGGACTCCATCCCCAGGGGTCTTAGCAGTAGAGGTATTTGAGGACAGTGCATGGCTGCCCATGGTGTGTGTGTGGTGTATCTGGCCAGATAGGGGGGAGGCCTGTGTTTCCATTAGGTGGGGCAGGTGATGCAGAGACGGGAGGGTAACCATAGCCCTCTGCAGTGAGTCCCGTGCCCAGGACAGAGTTATCCAGTGGGCCCTGCCCTTGGCCCAGCAGTGTGTTCTGAGCACCAAGAGGGCTTCCTGGGGGCAGCCTGAGGGCAGTAGTCCCAAGAGAGGTCAGGGTCCCCCGCCTCCCATGCCATGGATTGGGGTGGAAGAACACGTAAGATGAATGATAGTCGACCTTACCCCAGCCTATGCTCAGATAGAGCCTGAAGATGCGCTGCTCGGAGAAGACTGAGAAGGCCAGCAGCGTGTACAGGTACACGCCCTCCACCAGGAGCCAGTAGTAATTGGCCGCCACGCAGTACTGCATGAGCAGGAACACCAGGCGGCAGCCCAGAGAATCCTGGGGGCAGAGGAAGGGTCCCCAGGGGACATAGCTCTGCCTCCTGCCTCTCTTGATCCCCCTCCCCATCCTGCCCCAGATGCAAATACCGGATGAGAAGCCCTAACACCGTTTTGCCAGGGCCAAGGCCAAGAAGTTGACCTGCTTTAGCTCACTGAATCACTACCCTGAGTAGAAGAAGCTAATATTATCCTCATAGAGGTGAGGAAACTGAGGCTCAGAGAAGCTAAAAGACTTATACAGCTAGTAAGTAGCAGAGCTGGGATTCAAGCCTGGGTCTGTTTCCAAAGACCATTTCCTGTGTCAGACAGAACTTCTTAAGTGCAGGGAGGGTGTCTACATCTTTAGACTGGGGGCTCCCCAGGGTGGACTGCCTCTCCCATCCGACTGGGGACTCCCTAAAGACCAGGTGTGGCAGTTCTCGCCTTTCTTTGTGCCAGGCCTGGGTGGGGTTGGGGAGGCTTGCCTTCACTGACTGTCCATCCCTCCCCAGGCCCTTCCTGAACACATCACACACCTGGTAGGAGAGGAGCCCATCCCATTGGTGCTGCTGGGGGGCTGTGCTGTACATCCACTTGAGTACCGCGTCCCTGATGAAGACGGACAGCGCTCGGAGGATGAAGGACGCAAACAGGTTCAGGTGGATGTAATTCCGGGTGCAGTGCAGGTGTCTGTGGGAGAAAACAGGGCTCTTTCCTAGCAAGGTGGCTAGCAGTTCTGCTCCACAACCCCCCAGTTCAGGCTAACATACACCGCAGGCATGTTTCTGCATCTGGGACTGAGCCTCTGTCTTTTCTTCCTCTGAAAATGCCCCTCTGCTTCGTATCCTTGAAAATTCTTGGGTCCAATATAAGTCCTGCCTCTCCATGGAGCCTTCAGGTGTGTGGTCACTGCCACCACCCACCCTCATCCACACTATCTTCCTCTCTACAGCATCTTCTTCTCTACAAAGTCATGTATAATCCAAGTGATTTATGTGTGAAGACCACCTTCCCCAATGGAGACTTTGCTTTGCTTCTTGAGGACAGGACCCACATCTCACATGCTTCAGGGGCAGACTAGGGCTAAGCACGTAGTAGGAATTCAAACACTATTAGACACAATTTCAATATCCTTTCATGTAAAAACACAGAGCAAACTGCAAATACAAGGGCGTTTTTAACCTGATAAGGGCTATCTACCCAAACCCGGAACAAACATCATTCTTAACTGAGAAATTTTATAAGCATTTCCTTCAAAATCAGGAAAATAAGGATTATCTAGCCTTACAAAACTATCATCACATCTATTCACCATTGCAATATAGATCCTGGCCACTGTAAGAAGGCAAGGGGGAATAATCCATACGAATTGGAGATAAAGGAACGAAATTTTCATTATTTATAGATAGTAGAGTATCTTCATAGAGAATCTGAGATAACCTACACACAAATTATTAGAACTGATAGATTTCATTCAACATGGCTGCTGATGTGTGTTTATATATATCAGCAATAAACAAATAAAAAGTAAACTTTAAAGATTCATATATAATTTTGTAATTGGCTACATAGAAATAAGTCTAACAGAAGATGGGCAAGATCTCTATAGAGGATACAATAACATTTGCTTAAAATAGTTAGACAAGACTTAAAATTACACATTCATGGATAGACTCACTATTTTGAAGGTGTCAATTCTCTCCACATTAACTGATAAATAAAAAATAGCTATAATAAAAATTTCAACAGTGTTGATTTTTTGTTTTCCTGGAACTCTCAAAACGTATAAAGAACCAAGGGTCAAGCATAGTCTGGACCCTCCTAAAGACCCACAAAGTAGACAGGGCACCTGGTGGCTCAGTCAGTTAATTATCCGACTTTGGCTCAGGTCATGATCTCACAGTTTGTGGGTTCAAGCCCCGCATCAGGTTCACCAATGCTGAAGCTCCAGAGCTGACAACTTGAAGGCAAAATTAACTCTTGCCATGGAAGGTAAAGCCTATTAAGAAAGGATGAGCTGTTACTAAATGGTACTGGACCAATTATACTTATATATATATATATATATATATATATATATATATATATATTGTGTGTGATGATATTAATATATGTGTGTGTGTGTGTATGTAATATATAATATGAAAACAAAATTAAATCTTATTTTCATAGACAAAATTAGTACAGTGGATAAAAGATATGAAGAGAGAGAAAAGAAGAAAATCCATAAATAAGGGAAGGCTGACATGGGGCTGATCCCATGATCAGGATATGAAATCAGGCCCAAATCAGAATTCAAACCAATTTGAACCCTATCCAGGCACCAAGAGAATTCCTTAAACAAGATCATAAAGAGTTTGATTCTTTGGAAAAAAAATTGATAGTTTTTTATCAACTGGCAAAATTAATCACTTTATCAATTGACCATTTAGTGACGCTTTATTAATAAAAATAGATACACTGATATATTTCATTTCATTAAAATTAAGGACTTCCATGCATAAAAGCACTTCTCCAGCATTAGTGAAAATCAACCACAGACTAAAGGAGGATACATCAGGATCCAGGATATATAATGAATGACAAAGAAAAAAAGAAAAAGCCAAATAAGCCAAATTAAAAAGTAAACAGGTAGAATAATACATAAAATGAAACACAATGCTTGATCTCTCTAGGAATCAGGGATATGCAAATTAAAATCATGAGACATCATACCCTTCAGATTAGTAACAGGTGAAAATACTTCTAAATATTAGTGAGATAATTGAAATAAAAGGGAGCTCCATTTAAAACACTTACCGTGAAGGCAAAACTGAGGTATGACCACTTTGGAGAAGTAACTTCACCTATGTCGTTTCTTTTTTTTTTTTGTAACATTTTTAAAAGCAACACTTATTTATTTTTGTGAGAGAGACAGACAGACAGAGCATGAGCAGGAGAAGGGCAGAGAGAGAAGGAGACACAGAATCCAAAGCAGGCTCCAGGCTCTGAGCTGTCAGCTTCCAGGGCCCAATGCGGGGCTTGAACCCCACTAACCGCGAGGAGATCATGACCTGATGAAGTCAGACACTTAACCGTGAGCCAGACACTAATAAATTTTTCAAAAGCACATGGCATGGACAGACACTCAGGGGTACGGCTTGCCCTGAAGGGAAATGCACAAGGGTCGTGAAAATTTGCCTTGTGGCAAGGTTTAACTAATTCAGAAGAAAAAAAAGGAAACACCTCAAAATGTCATTAAGTGATAAAAATAAATTGTAATATTATACAATAAGTCTGGGTAGTTAATATAAAAAGCAGAACTTCTGCCATTATGCCTCGTGATCTCACAAAAAGCAATGCAGAGCCACGAAAATAACATTGCAAGAGTATATACAACATACCATTTAAAATAT